ACCACCACTGACACTGGGATTAACTTCAAGGCACAAAATCATTTGACACAAAGAGGAATAAATGGATGTAATGGATGGGTGGATGAGCACATTGGTAAGGGCGAGGACTCACATGCTCCTTGTTGCTCAGCTCATTGTACATGCCGATCTTGTCCACGGCCCGCCCAATTATGTCAGCAACGGTTGGAGTTGAAGAGGTTGGTGTAGGGCGACAGAGCCAACGGTCCAGATGACGCTCAGCCAGAGCCACGGAGACGCCGCCTGCCGACTCCCAGCACTCCCGCGCCCAATGTGCAGCACGCACTGCCCGCGCCAGTCCGAAGTGCGGCAGGTACTGGCCATTCAGTGTCTCCACCCCCTTCACTGGCTTGCCTTGCTGTTGTCGCTCACCCACATCCGCACTCTGGAAGTTCCAGTGCTCTGCAATAGCACACGCAAACACTCCAATGACAGTCCCACCCACCGACGCTCCATTGCACCTGCTCTGGAGTCGTGGCAGGCTCAATGCCAACCAAGGCCCATTAATCCACCTGCTCCATTTGTCACATTAAGGGTTGCAAAATCCCACATTTCACACCAAAGTCGTTTAGACTCCTCAAAGTAGTTGAGCCATCTTCTTCGTTGACACCCACATTTTGAAGAGTCGGTGAACTTCTGGCACCATACGCATCCATAATGCCAGAAGAAACTTCACTAGGCACGACACCAAGCAACTTACATGCTACTCTTTTCAATCCATTCAACTGCAGCCAGCAGCAATCCACGTGCCCATTAACCGCTGCACTCACTCGCTTCCCACAATTCGGGCACAATGCTCATCTTAGGCGATTTTATCAATCCTGCTTCGTCTCACTACTTTAACCCAATGCATAATGCGTCGCGATGCGGCAACCACAACACTTGAAAATGCTGCCAGAAATGGAGCAGACAGACAGACGGACAGATAGACGGTAGTGATGCTCCTCACCGCGACAGTCCAATCAATGTGATCTCCGCACCCTCTCGACACCAGCAAGACGTGAAAGCCGCCAACAGACGCGAATTCTCTTGATAGACTGATCACATCCAAAGACAACCACCAACAACCTTCGCAGAGGCCCTCCACTTTCGCCAGAATGGAATAAATACAGCACCACACCTTATCACAATTTATGTCCACTCGTCACGCTTTTCCATTCTTTATGCCATCCGGTTGTGGTGGTAGCCGCCACGAGGTAGGGTGTGTCAGTTCAAACGAAGGCGTGATCCGGGGCGGTAACCACAACACTTCGTCAGGCCAGAAGATGTGCCTGTGCCCTGCCTCACAGCGAGTCAACGTGAACAAACATTCACGCATTCGCATACACACAACCGCACACACACCGAAGCTGGCGATAATCCATTGAGCAGAGATGCTAATGCATTGGCGACATCAAACTTATGCCCGACACAACACACTCTCACTTGTGTGCATACATCACAGCTACAATTTTCCACTTCAAACTACCTCCACGTGTTGTCTCCCTCTTTGTCCTTCAATCGAGTAAATGTGATACCAAATCTAAGATACACTCAACTTTAACAAAGCTAAAAACAAACGAAGCAAAGCTAAACAGGTTGGGAAAAATGCGATCCAAAGTGCTCTCCCCAAGTAGTTGAAGAGCATTAGAAGAGATGGGTTAAAGGGGCAAGAGATGCTGATACCCACCTTCACGTCCATCCAAGTACAGACCAGCTTTGAGGCCTGTCACCATGTCCTCGATGATTGTGAAGTCCTGATTCTGAATGGCACTCGACACCTACAATCAGTGACAGGTGGTAATACAGCCAATCTCCAATACCAACAACAAAGCCTCCACCAGGCCAGGTAGACAGGGGAAACGAAAAAGGGAGGAAGGGAGAGGAGAGGGAGAGAGAGTGAGATGCACCTGCAAAATGGAGGCACCAGCCTGTAAGAACTGCATGCCCGCTTCCGCCGAGTCGATACCACCTGTGGCGAGGATAGGGAAGCCCGGCAACTTCTTCGCGATCCAGCTCACCGCACGCAACGCCATTGGTCGCACCAAATTGCCCGACAAACCGCCGTACGTTGTGCGCCGCTCCTTACCAACACGTGGCCAGGCTGAGGAGTCACTGTCGAAGTGCATTATCCCCGACACCGTGTTGATCGCGGTCACACCGTCCGCTCCGCCATCCTGTGCAGCCTGTGCGATTTCCAGAATGTCACTCACGTTGGGCGTCAGCTTCGCAAACACCGGTGTCCCCGCTCCCCCCACACTCTTCACCCACTTGCAGATCTCGCGCACCAACCGCGGATCCTGACCGCACGCCATCCCCATGCCCCTCTCTCCCATCCCGTGCGGACACGACAAATTCAACTCCAGTGCGTCCGGTCCTGCCCTCAGCGTGCGCTCCGTGATTTCTCGCCAGTCCGCCTCGTCGAACTTCGCCATTATGCTCGCTATCACCCTCTTCTCCGGAAAGTCACGCTTCAGCTCCTTTATGCTCTCTACCCAGTACGCCGCCGTCTTCTCGCTTATCAACTCTATGTTGCAGAAACCCGACTGGTCTGGTCCGTACAGATGACCTCCCGTGGGACCGCGCACGATGCGCGGCGACACATTCGTCACCAGGTCCTTGTCCAGACCAAAGGTCTTTGTCACCGCAAACCCCCAACCTGCCTCGAAGGCACGCCGGATCATCGCACTCGACGTCGTCGGTGGCGCCGAGGCCAGACCAAACGGATTCTCGAACTTCACGCCACACACATCCACCGACACATCCACCGCATCGATGGGTGTGCTGAAGCGTGGCAACCTCATCGGCAAGTCCGCCTCACCCAACAGAGTACTGTGGATGCTCCACGCCGCCGTCTTACCGTCATTCGTCGCCTCCACACTGGTGTGCGCGAAGCCGGTCAGGTCACCACCACACCACACGTCGGGCAGATTGGTACGCATCGTCTTCGCATCTACCACGGGCAGACCCGCCGAGAAGCCACTGGGTGCCAGCTTCACACCCTCCATCGCACTCACCACATCCGCGTCATTCAACTCCGCTCCATAGGCAGTGATAATGACGTCCACCTTCAATTTCACCACCTGTTCAGGATCCGTGTACCACGAGCCGTCATCGTCGCGCTCGCGCCGCACTAAACTCAGCTCACTTATCTGCCCGCCAGCACCCAGGTGCACTTCCTGCGGCACGAGGTTGGGCAAGAACTCACACTTCTCCTGCCACGCCAGCTCCATCTCCTCCGGCACGGGATTGATGGTGGTGAAGCTCTTGCGGAAGGAGACGGTCACACGCGAGGCGCCACAGCGCAGTGCCGACGTGGCACAGTCGAAGGCAGTGTCACCAGCGCCCAGCACCACCACACGCTTCCCTTTCAGATCCGGCAAATGTGCGTTTTCACACCCCAAACAGCCCTTCGAAGCTGCGGATACGCAAGGCAGAAAGTCCTTCGAGGTGAGGAAGCCCTGCTGCGACGTCAGACCAGCAAACACCCCTGTCGAGTGTGCGTTCGGCAGCCCAAACCCCAGGAATATAGCCTTGTAACCCGCAGCACGCAGACTGGCCAATGTCACACCTCGGGGTGTGGTGCCACACTCGGAAGCCTCAGCTGCAGTGGCAGAGAAGGGACGCCCCGTAAATATGCGCACACCGAGGTCACGCAACAACTGCAGCTCGAAGGCGACAGCGGCTCCGGGCAGACGAAACTGCGGTATCTCCATTGTACTCAGTCCACCGGGTCGCTCATCACGCTCGAAGATGTGCACATTGCGGTAGCCCAACCGCGCCAGGAACGTCGCGCATGAGATACTCGCCGGTCCACAGCCTACCAGCGCGATCTTCGTGTCGTACTGCGCATCACCCGCAGTCCTCGCCACTATCGCCGGGTCCACTATCTACAACACAACCACCCTCGACAAACAACTCACTCAACCACCCACCCACTCACCCACCCACTCACCCACCCACCAACCTACACAACGATTCCCTCTTCAGATGCCATCTCTCAGTACTCACCAGCTTATCTGTCTTCTCAACTCACATCAATCCACATGTAACAGTATTTGCCATTGACAACACCGATTTCTGTGCGTAAGCCTTGCGCTGCTTCCAATATCTTGTAACATTGTGCACACTTCAACGCTTAAGACTGCCATCTGAATACACTCTGGACGTTCATGCACCAACAATCCTGTAGTGCGAGCAAGTGCACCAATTCGGGCAGAATAAGGTGTCATGTGGAAGGGACAGGGCATGACACGGCAAAGCACAGTAGGGTAGAGTAGAGAGGAGAAGAGAGGAGAGGAGAGGAGAGGAGAGAAAACACAAGAAGCCTACCTGAGGCACATTCATGTTGGCAAACATCTCCACAGCGAACTGCTGCAGTCCACCTATGTTGATGGCCCCTTCCTCCGTAGCGGTTAGGTTACAGGCGCCGACACAGAGGTCACTGGTAGGACACACCATGCCACAGGTCAGACCGTTCGGATTGTCCGACAGGATGGCCTTCGCGGCACCGTAGTAGTTCTTCTTCCCAATGCTCCCCACAAACGCCTTCACGTCCAGCTGTGTGGGACAACTGTGCTGACATGGCGCATCCGCGCACTTCAGACACCGCGCCGCCTCACGCAGTGCTCCACGCTCACCCAACGTCGTCGCTTTCGCGTCCGAAAAGTCATAGTGCAGTGGCAGCATTGCCGAGTCGTTCTTGTCCGCGTTGCGCTTCCAATTCCTCTTCTCCTGTCAACAACCCCACCACCATCAATAACAACCACGGCAACAACATCATCAACAGTACCAATGCACGCTTCCACACATACACACACACACACACCCACACACACAAACACAAACACAGCAATCACCTGTCTGTATCTCTCGGCAAGGAGCATACCTGACGAATCTCAGTCGTGGGTTTGACAGTAGCGGCGGTGGGTACTTTGGGCTGCAGACGCAGCACCGCCTCAATCTCCGCCGAGTGCCGACTCACCTCCTCGTGATTCAACGAGGAGAAGCACTTTCTACCACCGCGGACACCGCATCCACCACCACCGGCACCACCAGCACCACCACATCCCACGCTCGGACAGGCGAGTGACCGTCGTCCCGCACGCACCAACTCCACTTGTCTACCTAGTACTCGCTGTGCTTGGCGATACATCCACCCCTGCCACCACTCCTCTTCGAATAAACATGCACCCTTGCCGCTGCACACCCATTTTATTTCATCATTCGCGTCGCAGCCAATGGCGGCGCACCGGATGCTGATTGGCTCATTGAACGATCGGTGGATTGTGTGTGTGTTGAGGGTTTCCGTCTCGCTTCGTCGTGCCGACAGGTGCGGCTCCGCTCGGAGGAGGTACCACGGGTTTTGGCGTTGTTTTTCTTCCTGAATAACCAGGCCTTCGTGAAAGATGGTCATGGCTCGCACATTGTGGCTTTCATCGTGCATCTGGGATTTGTTGAATTCCAATTTTGAAAGTACCACCCTCTTCGGTTCTCAATCGGCACATGCCTCTTAGGATCTGTTGATTCCACCGCCATGGGTGGAGCAAGGAGACTTAGCAGTTGGCTTTCAATGTCTCACCACCGGTGAGAGTCACAATAACTTTGAGAGTGAGTGATGTTCGGTGTCACATTACCTTAACTTACGATACTTTGTCCACATCATCTACTTTGAGACGGATGTGAACTGTGGCACCGAATTGGTCATTTTTGATATATTGCAGGGAACTATGCACTCCATTATGAGTTAGCCAGCAGAATGGCTGTGAAGTGCCCTAATTCGGCAGTCCTAACAAAGCAATACGTTGTGTTCTGTGGAGAAGTAACTTGAAAGAGAAATGGTTCATCCTCAGCACCTCCTACGCCAAGTGCACCAATAGACTGGTCAGTCAAAAAGTCAGTGTCTGGAACCACCTTAACGCATCGTTGGCATGCTGTTCTTCGCTTCCTTTCCACGCAGTTTCAATGCGGTAATGCCCCATCACTTTGTGGAATTGGAGTAGCCAAGGCAGTTAGTTGCGAGAGAGAGTTGATCCACTCTGCAAAGTCGGAAGAACAATAAAATTGGCCTAGTTTTTCGTTTTGTGCATAATTCTATGTAAATGGTAACTAGGCCCACTGGAAGCGCCACTGCAATGGTGGTTTGATGTGGCTTACTCGGAGGCAGAGTTGTGAATAACGGCACGAAATAGACAAGAATTGTTCAGTGTTTAGTTGTGAGAAAGATTTCCCCATTACAGTGAGCTGCCTAATCTTGCCGAGGCTGGTGGGGGTTATATAAAGTGGACGGAGCTGCACCTCATAGTAATGACTGGTTAGCGGTTGTAATTCATTGTTGGGGTATGACTAGGGCAACCGACCATCATGGTTTGCACGAACAAGTCCCATGAAGAAGCATTCTTGAGGTCATCAACTGTTTAGTAAATTGGCTTCGCGGAGACAAATTGGCTTCCAGGTCTTCAAAAGTACCTTGTGAAATGGGTCATTTATTTCCTTCATCAATAATCTGCATCTTACTTTAGCACGGGTAAATAAATACTGAACTTCAAGTTGTTCTGCAAAACTTCGTGTGGAGCGTTCAAAGCATACTTTTTACCACCGGCGTCAGAGGGGTCCGTGTTGCACAATAGCCATTAATTAGGACCGTGGTTTAGTTCTTGTTTGGCGCTTCGATGCCACAACAGCAGGAAGCACTCGTCATGGGACATTGGAAAAAATGACATGGTCGCTTCTCGAGACGTGGCCATTGCTCTTCAAGTGAAGGAAGTGTGGTATAGGCATAGAGACGCAGCCCAAGTCTGTCTGAATGGAGAGAGTTTCGATCTTGGAGTGCGCGTATGTCATCCTTCTGTCCTTTTAACACCTGCAGCAGTCGGCAAAAGGACTCTATGACGTACCTCCACTGAGCCGGACGACATTATGCTGATTTCTCGTCAATTTCAGCAAGTCGGAAGTGACAAGCACACGATGCCCCCGCATGTCCTGAAGTGACGAGAAATGCTGTTTAAAACATTCTTGTGGCATCACATCATAAGCGACGATAACCTAACCGATGGATTACAACGATGACCACAGCGATCCCTCACTCAAAGTGCCCAAGTCCGTTTCAGTGGAGTGTGGTAATATGCAGCCTGGAGTGATTTGGGAGTTGAATTGGTTTTGACCATTGCGCCAGTAAAGAGTAACAAGAACTGCCCAGAACAACACCTTCAAGTTGGAACTCGTGCAAGTCGTTGCCAAGTGCCCACCTGTGAATACTTCAATGCTAAGCAGGCAACGGATGCAAGGGAGCCATGTCTTGCAGGTGGAGTCAAAACTACTTGACAGCGCGGTGTTCAGAATCCCACCAGGGCGTTGTAGTACTACATCCCTCTAATTAACCACAGGCTTTATGAAGAGAAGTACGCACGACTTGTCTCAACTCGCCTCTACATTACAGTGTGTGCGTGTGTGTGTGTGTGGGTGTGTTTAGGCTGGCCTTCATCCTTGTCTCTCTCTCGCCTGCTTTCCAGCCAAAGTTCAACGCTCAAGAGTGCCAGACGAGCCCGTAGCACAAGAGTGAAGGTCCCACCAAATGATGGATTCTGCTATCAAGCAGAAGGCATTTCCCTTTTTACACCTCGTTTTTTATCATTGTGGGCAATAAATTCACCGCCTCCTTGATAGTCATTCATCCAACTGTTGTAACTAGTTTGGGGGAAAGTTGCCGAATAGCCACCATCATTACCTTTGCCCAAACGAGCCTGGCAAGGACAACGTGATGCCTTGCATTCGGTGGTGCGGTAATCATGCAGTCGCCCGAGTGGACCGTACAACTACATGTCTGGACATTTATTTACCACCATCAAGGCAACTCGAAAGCACTCGATTCGGTTAATGGAACCACTCCTTGGGCACTGATCCTGCATTTAACTAGGCAGATTTAAGGAGGAGTCAAGGCGATTAGTTGCCTCAATCACCAAGGCGTTCACTGCTCTCCTGCATTCATACGTCCTGGTGACCCGATGTAACTGCGGTCACCGCTCCAACCTCTCGGGTCACATTCTCTGCCAAATTTGGTGGTAGAGTTTATGATGAATTAAATTGCAATTACGTCTTCTTTTTCAATAACCTTAAACGATTAACGCCACATCTACCAACACAGTAGACGAAGCAGAAAACGCAAAACAAAAACGACAGCTAATGAAGGGATTGACTTTCCAAGTCGCAGTAGGCGATACCATCCTCAACACTTGATTCAACATATAGAGAGATGATGCAAAAACCTTTGCGTATTTTTGTCATTATTTGAGTTTGAGGGTCAGTTCGCGAGGGTGATTCCCAACACGTGTGACTAGCTCAAACACGCAACGCAATTGGACTAAAAAATAAGTTATTTTTTGGCACAAATAACTGGCGGTAAACACAGAAGACAATCTGAAGGGCGTAGCAGTGCATGTCTCCGCAGAGCAGCGTCACTCCAGTGCTGAGCATTCACGAACCGCGCTAACCAACGCAGGTTTCGCGGGATGTCCCTTATAGTTGCATTTTTTGGAGTGAGAGCAGGGAAGGTGTGGGGCATCAACCCCACCCTCACACCAAACAAACGTGCTGATGGTGGCACAGGGGGAAGCAGAGCGATGATGACCTGCCGACTCGACTGCGGGTCAGCAGCACCAGCAGAGATTCACTGTCACACCGGTTGGTGCGCACTGCACACACACACGACAGTGCCAACCGCACGTCGCATGTGGGAGTAGACAGTGGCTGTCCCGACGGCGGCATCCTCGTCACTCGCGCGATTGATGAGTCACCTGGTGTCCTCACTACGTGTCCCTACTTGTGGCTACTGCTGTTGGTCAGCTTCAGCCAGCCCTGCCGCGGGCATTAGTATTTGGCACTGCCCGCCTGCCCAATACTCCTCCTACCGTTTGCGCATTCTGATTCCCATCTAGTCAAGCCTGCTCTGCGGTCCCCACCCACATCACCACTGATTGGCCCATTCGTCGAATTGCAACATCACAGCGGAGTACGGTGAATTGGTGGTTGATATCGAGACGACTTCTGGATCACCCCTCCTTGAGCACGACAACTTTCACTTGTTAGCTTTAGCAGAAGTCACCTCTCCATCCCTCGTCCACAACGCGACAACAAATGGAACTGGACGTTGTGCAGCACACTTCACCACTGTGGCTGCTATCGAGACAGTGTTGTCCGAGGTCTTGCGGATGCCATCCTTCGTGCGCACAACTTGATACCAAAATGTGTACTGGCGTGGGT